TTGGGATATATATAGATGATCTCACGTGGCCTAACTGCAAATATCAAATGTATTTTTACAAGTTAGCCATGGCCTTTCTGACATTGCTTCTCAAGATGCCCTCTACATTGTTACGGACAAGCATAAATAAAACTCATTATGTAATATGGTTTAAAAACTTTCTCTACATTTGGCTTATACTCTCAGCTGTTTCTAAGCTGTCTCTTAGCACTGAGAGCTGTTCTTCCTGGCCTTTCTGATTTTTCCTAATTGCTGGTTGGATGCTCTAATGCCATCTCTTAAAAAAATCTTTAAAAGAAATAATTTATTTTGAAGCTTGGATGAGCCATCTAAAACCACTAAAAATGTCCTATTTTAACGTGGGTGCATCACACTTGAAATATCAACTTTATTCTTAACACATTGATTTCAAACTCAATGTATATGTGCATAACATATGTAGATGTTCGAACAGTGTCATGGGTCAGATCCTGTAGTGGCTCCACACTCAGAACTCCCTTGGAAGTCAGGGAGTTTGGAACATGGTGCAGCTGCAGGAGCTGACTCTGTATTTGTTTATCTAAAGGATTTTCAAAACTTTTCAGTGTGAACCACATCTTAATAGAGTGATTAGTTCTTGAGACAATGTCCCCTCCTACTGACTACTGTGCAGACCACCTCCTATCTTACTGGCAATTGAGTAACACCACTGGGGCAACTATAATCATTTACATGGATAACTAATATCAGGAAAGTGTTTAATGTAGTTTTAGCATCTTTTACTTCAGTTTAGCAGCTGGAAACAAGGCGACAGGCACATGGGACCAGCCTGCTCTCTACAGACCATCAATAAATACTCATGGACCACATTTGGGAGCCACGGATTTACCCAATTTAGTCACATGCTTCATGACTCCACAAGTGGCTCTTCCACAAGTCATGTGTTAGCAGCCCCATCGCTGATATATTTGTGTTGGGCCATATCCTATTAAATACTGTAGCTTGAAAAAACCAAAATTACAATACTGTAAAAAATATGTAGGGAAAGAAGGTGAAGTGGGCCACCTTTTCCTTCTATTATCCACCTCTTGGGTCATGAGAAAAATCCCATCTCATTGGGCCCCAACATGCCTCAATAATCACCAGATTAATGTAATGGAATAGGGAAGGATACATTCTCTGCCTTAAACAACCCCAAAAGTAGGCAGTGAAGAGGAGAATTTATCTATGGATTCAAGCAGCCCTAACTCATGATAGGCTTAATCTTCCTTGCCAGATTGAAACTCTCTCTCTGACTTCAGTGAAAATTTTGGGTGCACAAAGACTGCCAACTGAGTCCTATCTGAAAAGAGTGGGAGAAGTCATTGGACCAAGGGTTCTTAATGATAATCACACTGGAAAACATCTGCTTCTGCTCAGGCATAAAGGACCCTAGTGATAAGCATTCTGGGGAATATGTGCAAAGGCATAAATGGGAGTTTAAATGCTCCACTTCCATTGACTTTCAGTGGAAGTGGAGCATCTAAAGGCTTTTTGTGTCTTTGAAAATCTCCCCGTGTTATGAGAGTGGTGGTGTTTGGAGTGACCCAAGACCTCCTCAATGCCAACTGGCAAGGGGCAGCGCCGTATTATTGCCTAGGCCGACAAGGCCTAGGCCTAGGGCGGCAAATTTGCAGGGGCGGAAGCTCCCCTCCACGCCCCACCCCCCTGCTCCAGCTCACCTCCGCCTCCTCTGCAAGTGCGCCGCCGCGTCCTGTTTCTCTCCCCTCCCAGCGCTTGCGCCGTGAAACAGCTGTTTCGCAGGGCAGGGAGGGAGGGGGGAGGAGGGGGAACGCCGCGCACTGGGAGAAGAGGCGGGGCCGGGGGCGGGGATTTGGGGAAGGGATCCAATAGGAGAAGGGAGGGGGCGGAGTTGGGGCGGGGACTTTGGGGAGGGGGTTGGGATGGGGGCGGGAAAAGGGCGGAGTCGGGGTGGGGCCAGGGCGGCAATTATTTCCCGGCCTAGGGGCAGCAAAATTATTAATCCGCCACTGGCAAGGGGGAAGGGGGTGACAATATTATCCTGATTCTGGTATGTACATTCTGGTTCACCAAAGAATGTTATGTGAGGTCTTAAACGAAATGCTGGGTTACACTGCTCATTGTCATTGTTGTAAAATGTATGTACAAATACTATGTAAGCAGTTCTGTATGTATACTGAAAATATGTTCTTAGAGTCTGTATCACAGCAGGGGTAGATACAGGTTTCCTGTCGGACAAGGGATTTTTATTTACGTATTCTCTGTTGAAATGTAAATTAAGTATTGTCTCATTCACAGTGGGTCTTCCATCTCCTATCTAAGATGAATGCAGATGTAGGATTATAAGGATTTCAGGAAGAAACTAACAGAAACACAGCTGGGGGAAGAGAAACTTATCTTCAGATATACTTCAAAGGTTTGATGGACTATATTTGGGGAACAGATCCTGCATTTAGGAAGTAAACGGGCAGTGTGTTTACGTTAATGAAGATGGGATCACAACCAGCCTTCATTGAAGATGTTAAAAAAGGCTTTGGGTCAGAAACTTCATTAGACAAGGAGGCTAACACAATAGTTGAGTTTAGTCTCCAGAAAGTGTTATGATTTTGTTTTATGTGTAACCTTTGTGTTTCCATTACCCTTACTCACTATCTCTTGAATCTTTGATAATAAACTTATAGTTGTTTTTCACTATAAATATATCTCAGTTCTGTGGTATTAAGCAAGGTGTTGATCCTGTGTTGAATCATATAAGCTGGTGTGTACACTGTTCCCTTGGGGACAGAAGACCTGGTATTTCTGTGAGAGTTTAGTGGATAAGTGGTTGAATATTACAAGGGAACACTTCAAAGGGTTTGGGGACTGGGCTGCACCTATTGTTAACCTGCAAGTTAAAGTAAGGGCTGGGATAGCCCAGAAGAAAGTGCTTGTGTGGCTAACAGGCTGGTGGTGTCAAGGAGCTGACATCCAGTTAAGCACAAGCAAGTTTCCCTCTCTCTGGAGGCAGGAGGATAACAAGGTGACTCTGTCCTGGGTACCTTGAGAACCATCACAGGAGCTCCCTCTATATATGACAGTCACTAATGTATTCAGCCTTCAAAATCATGTTTGTGTGAAGACCCCAACCTCAAATAAAGGGCCTGATCCTGCAATCCCTACTCAACCACAACACCCATTGATGACAATGGGAGTTTTTTCCTAAATCAGGACTACAAGATTGGGCCCCAAATACTTAATTGAGGCTTGATGCATCATATCTGAAAACAAATGTATAGGCAGAAACGTATTTCCACAGGTAGAGATGAATCTGCCCTGTATAAAGAATAGTTAAGTTATTGTGCAATATAAGACTAGAGTTCCAGTAAGGAGCGACATCATACATTTTGAAAATGGAGCATAACGAGTAGTTTGCCACCTGGACTTTGACCATAATTTCCTTGTATTATATTATTGCATGCTTGTTGTTTGTCCGGTCATATAACTTTAAAATATTTCTGTTTAAAACCCGGTCTATTTATAATCTACAAAATCTTTATTAGTATCAATAGTATGTTGTTAATAATTAAGTCATCTCTTTGCTGATAATACCTGGGTTACTGTGCAAAGACACTGCAAATTTGTATTTTTTAAAAAATCTGTTCATGGGTGTGGTGTTGTTAACCTGTAAACTGGAAGAGTCACCCAACTAAAACTTCTGCTCTATGAAACATCCACAGCACAGCCGCTTAGGTAGGGTTTTAAAATGTCCAGCTGCCACAGAGGTAAATTGAATTACGAAGCAGCAGGGGAAGGATGTCAAAATATAAAACTGAGTACTTATCTAGAGCCAGATTCTGCCTCCTATAACACGTTCAGTAGTTCCTATGCATATTCAGTAGTATCTTATTTTACAGTAGTCTAAGGGTGACAGAATCTGGCCCCAAGTAACTAAAGAGTAGAAGAAGAGGGGAAGCAGAAAGCAGGTCAATATACTTCATAACTTTAAAAAATAAATCAGATGTTGGATTAGGGCCTTTGGGTGAAATCATGTTCTCTGCTCCACAAACCTCCTATTGAAGTCAATGGGAGCTTTGTGTGAGTAGAGAATTAGGTTTTGGTTCTCTGGGCTTGATCCTCTGCCGGTCCAATGGCTTCAGTGGAACTGTGCCAATTTACACCAGCTAAGAATCTGGCTCTGTATTTCTATTTTGCCTTGGAATGACTATACCAACCATTCAAGCTTCAGTCGCACAATATGAACAAAATCCCTTGATCAAATTATAGCTCCCTAATAGTCTGCAGTTGTTTTTTACCTTTCTCTCTAAAATCTTAACTGTAGCTTGGTTGCCACAAAGGCTATAACACAACACTGGGGGGGGGGGGGGGGAAGGCTATGGACAGCTGTCAGCTTGTTTGCATTTATAATCCAGTTCAAGTGAATGTGACCTCAATGGGCTATTACAGTAGCACAGAAGAAGAAGAACTTCAGTGCATAATCTGCTAGGGAATTCCACACAGGACTTGATTAAAAATCTGTGTGTATAATCCTGGTGCGGGTGCATATATTGCTGATTTAAATAATCTCCTAAATGGTCTAGAGTTAGAAAAGGGGCCTTCAGAGTTCATGCATTCTTTTTTCTAGCAGATTTAACAGTAGTGCTAAGTGGTTTCACCTCGTGTGCTAAACAATCTCCTAAACAGTCTGGAGTTAGTAAAGGGGCCTTCACAGTGCATGCATTTTTTTTCTAGCAGATTAAACAGTAGTACTAAATGGTTTCACCTTGTGTCCTAAACAACAATGTAGGAATAGTTATAAACAATAGTGCTTGATTTCTTCCCTTGGGAACCTAGTAGTTTTAAGAGTAATAGTAGTATTCTAGCAGTTCAGTGATTGACAAGAGGAAACAACCACTTTCAATAGAAAGGTACCAGGCTCCTTTGTAGCTTTCACTTAAATTTTGCAGCATCTTCTAAAAAGAACAGGAACAGGAATCACAATAGGAATAAATATACCTGGCCGCCTAGTCCTGTTTGCAGAGATCTGCAACGTTCAAAAATTTCCTTATGACCATTCCCAGGCAAAGCATTAAGAGCAGCATATATCCGATGGTGCCTAGGAAGGTAGGGGAGGCAGGTGGGGATTTGAGGAACTGCAGCAGCCCTTCTTCTAGATAGTACATCTGGTCATAGATGCTGAGGAAGGTGAAGATGTGGAAGAGCTGGTGGCTGTGCCCGATGATGTCAAACAGCCCCGGCTGGATCCTCTCGGGGATCTTGCTGATGTTGAAGAACGCGGCCACCAGGAGCCAGAAGTAGCGCCTGTAGAAGTAGACGAAGAGGGTGGGGTTCTGCCCCCGCAGGTCGAAGAGGAAGCTCTCCAGCATGATGGGGCAGGCCATGCTGAGGGGCATGGCGAAGACGAAGGTCCGGATGGCGAAGGGGTAGGCGCACCACTCGGAGCGGCTCTTGCAGCACGCCACGGTGCAGGTGACGGCCAGCACAAAGGCCACCGGCAGCACCAGGGCGCTGTAGAGGGCGATGGGGAGGCTGCAGTCCAGCTGCCAGCCCAGGCGCTGCTGCAGGTAGCGGCTCATGGCCCGCGCGTCCAGCAGACGCAGGCCGGGCAGCAGGTAGTAGGAATAAGCCACGGTGCTGGCGAAGCCGTAGTAGCTGATGGAGGCGTAGTCCAGGTAGAAGAAGGCGGCGCGCAGGCGCAGCGAGAGGCAGCTGAACACATGGGCCGTGCAGCTCATGGCAAACGTGAGCAGGACGCCCGAGGCGTAGCACCAGAGGGGCAGCAGGAGGGGGTGGTGGAAGGGCAGCTCGCCGGCCCCGCTCAGGAAGAAGAGCCGGCAGAACTTGCTCAGGAAGAGGAGCAGGGGGATGAAATGGGTCCAGAAGTTGAGCGTCTCGTTGGTGGGCTGCAGCACCGAGGCCAGGCACTCCTGGGCGCTGCAGTGCAGCCGCCGGTAGCCCGACAGGATGAAGCACTCCACGAAGTCATCGGGCACCTCGTCCCAGCGCAGCAGGGGGGCAGAGGGAGGAGGGGGAGGCGCCTGGTCCTTTGCTGCCCGGCCTCCAGGCATGGTGCCCCCCTCCCCAGCCCCCTCGGCCCGCCGCGGCGCCGCTCCTCTGCGGGGGTGGCGGTGGGGGGAGGAGAGGGCGCCTTTGGGGCCCCGGAGCCGGAGCCGGAGCGGGGCTGGTGATGTAAGCCGGCAAAGGAAAAGCCGCTTTCCCCGCTGCCGCCGGAGGAGGAATTGCAGTGGATTTGTGCTTCTCCTCCTCCTCCCCCCGCCAGCATCACTCATTGCAGCAGCGGCAGCATCGCCCCAGCCGACGCGCGGCGGCAGCTCCTCCTGCAGAGGAGCCCAGCCTCGCGGTAATTCAGCCCCTGCCGCTGGAGGAGACCGAGACCCTGCCCGGCTTGGGGCCCCGAGTCCCCCCCGCGGCAGAACGTGATGCCGGCTCCTGCTCTGTGTCCGCCTCCCCCGCCGCGCCGGTTAATGATTGATGCGCTGCGAGCGCAGGCGGCGGTCTCTGCCGGCTTGGGCGGGGGAGCCATTGATTTGTAAGGCCTGGGACAGTGCGCCTACCCCGCCCCCCCCTCTCTGAACACCCGATACATTGTCAGCCGGAGGATGAATTTTCCACTCCTCTCCGCGGTGCTGTGGTTTGCATGTCACTGTCATCACGGGCTCTTTCCCTCGCTCAGCCCGCAGCTTCGTGCGGCTCCCTCTCGCTTCCTTCTAGGAAATTCACAAAGCAGCCACTTTGGGGAGGGGAGGTTAAGGGGCGGGCGGTTTGGGGAGAAATACGCAACAATAGGTGCTTTGAAAGGGGCACACCATTGTATTGTCTTTTTTTTTTAATTAGCCCAATTGGAGTATAACAGACACAAGTGGAACATTAAAAAAACCTTACACATTTCAGTGTGTTAAATGCACAGCCATACTAAATGCATCAGATCAGACGCGTAAGAATCCCTGACAACAGTAAGAAGGGGGCCCACTGGGAAAGAAGAGATAGCAATGCCAAAATCGGGAATTGCTGACCAAACAAAACAAAGACCTGGTGGCAACCTCCCTCCTCCCCTCCCATCCCCTAGGCGAGATAACCAGTTAAACTTTAATTCGTTTGATCTTTACACTCTATATTTCAGTGAATATGTCAAAGTACCATGCTGGCCATGTTTTCTTTTGGTGACACTGTACTATGCAAAGGACACCAATCTATGTAAAAGACTTGCGGAGAAATCTTTATCCCACGTGCCTGGGAAGAGTATATTTACTATACTTATGGTATGTAATGTGAACAGCAGCTTTCTGCCTGCTGGCTGACAGTGAGAATCTACAATGGGCTTGACAGCAGAGGCTCTGTGTTGATCCTTGGACAAATCCTACATTTATCAACGGTACCATTATGTAATTGGTACAGTTACATAATCAGAATATAAAAAGTGATACAGAGAAAAATGCACTGTAAGCATGTAACTACACTGAAAGATAGTAAATATAAGACAGTACAGAAAGTTTGGTAAGGAGCTGCAGGCTCAGGGTAGTGGTCAAATGGATAGGGGTTCTTTGCTGTTCTGGTGTGTTTCCTCTTTTTGTTTGTAATTTAAACAAATCTTTCAAAAACACTTGGCAACTGTAGACCATTCTAAAATAATGTCTTTATCACATTGTAATACATAAAGAACAAATTTGCTACATTATAATCATGTATAGTCACAGTCCTTTTTATATAATCTCTTAACATATGTCAGGCTCCTCCCATAGTCTTCAGGTCTTCCCGTCTTCTTTTCTCAAAACTCAACATGCCCAATTGTTTTAACCATTCCTCATAGGTCAGGACAGGTTTTCTAAACCCTTTATCATTTTTGTTGCTGTCCTCTGGACTCTCTCCAGTTAGTCCACATCTTTCCTAAAGTGTAGCTCCCAGTATTGAATACAGTGCTCCAGCTGAGGCCTCACTAGTGCAGAGTAGAGCTGGACAGTTACCTCCTGTGACTTACACTCCCGTTAATACACCCCAGAATTATATTAGCCTTTTCCATGGCTGCTCACATTGTTGACTCATATTCAATTTGTGATTCACTATAAACCCCAGATCCTTTTCAGGAGTACTATCACCTAGCCTTTTATTCTCCATTTTGTAGTTTTGCATTTGATTTTTCCTTGTATTTTACACTTGTTTTTATTGAATTTCATCTTGTTGGTTTCAGACCAATTCTCTGATTTGTCAAAGTCTTTTTGAATTCTAATTCTGTCTACTCCTCTTCCCTTTTTGTTCACTCCTCATTTCTGTTTTTCTTCAGCAGAACCTCTAGGGTATAGATCAGGGGTTGGCAACCTCTCAGAAGTGGTGTGCCGAGTCTTCATTTATTCACTCTAATTTAAGGTTTCGCTTGCCAGTAATACATTTTAACGTTTTTAGAAGGTCTCTTTCTATAAGTCTATAATATATAACTAAACTATTGTTGTATGTAAAGTAAATAAGGTTTTTTAAAATGTTTAAGAAGCTTCATTTAAAATTAAATTAAAATGCAGAGCCCCCTGGACTGGTGGCCAGGACCCGGGCAGTGTGAGTGCCACTGAAAATCAGCTTGTGTGCCGCCTTTGGCACACGTGCCATAGGTTGCCTACCCCTGGTATAGATTCTATCTTGACATATTCTGTGCATCCCCATTGACTTAATACTGTAAGTCTGGGCAGACTTTGACTTTACTACAGTAAGGTTAGATCTAAATTCCTACCCAGACTTTCCTTCCTATTTGTTTCCACACTGATATCAAAGTTAGGATCTAACTACCTGGAAGATCAATTAACCTTTCACAACCAGCCAAAATGGCCACACAGGGCTACTGCAGCTGGTTAACCTCAGACTCAGATTGGGATAAGAGCATATTTGGTGGCAGGACCCTGACACTGAATCTCCTTACTAAGGCAGAAGCAGAGTCCAGACATGAGCGCACACGGCTCAGAATTCCATACCAACTTATTTTGTAATGCCTTCCTCCAGGAATGTCTTCTCTCTTCTGGACAGTATTTTTAAAATTAAAATGGTAAGTAATTGTCACCTAGCCAGCATTCATGGAAATAAGGGATATGAGGAGAGTAAGAAAGAGAGAAGAAGAAAAAGCGAGGAAAAAAAAGAATTTAGGTTCACGGAGACAAAGTTCTCAGAGTTCCCTTTGTGATGTTAAGGTGAAAGTCTTTCCTGTGGAGAAGGCCAGTGCACCTCTTACACCCTCAAAATAGGGTTTAAATGGGACTTAAAGTGGTGCACAGGTTTTGTTCTGTCCTTCTGCTGGGGGGTATATTTTATCCTATTAGTACTACCTAAACATTTGTGCCTGGTCCTTATATACAAGAGTGAGGAGCACAATGGAAACAGCTAACAGAGGAACCTATCTTCTAAGACAGTTTCTGAGAGTGATACATGCTGATCCATTGTCCCATTATTGTTAGACCTACAACTCAGTTATTTATTCAAGTTCCTCTGGTTTTTTCTCCCAAAAGGAATAATGAATTTACCATCCTCTTGGGGACTTATTTAGCTAATACATCACAAAAATATCACTTATAACAGTATGATTGAATCTGTGTAAACTGAAAATTGAAAGGAGATTAAGGACCCAATCTTGCACTGCACAGAGATGTTACTTCTATAGGAGTTGTGAGTGCTAAGGGATGCAGAGTCAGACTCTACCTGTACTCTTTCCAAGAGTCTGATAGCAGTCTGTCTGTGCACACCTCCTTGGTGTGGCATAGGGGAATCCCACACACCTTTCTCAGCTGGCAAAATACTCAGGTAGGTAGAAGGCAGGTTTTTTTCCCTGAGAAAACATCTGTGCTGATGTTTAATCATACAAACATGCATCATTCTGATAATTTGGTTACTGTTTCATATGAGCTCTTATCCCTTGTCATGCCCATATCAACTCCTTAAACAGATATCCTGACAGGTAATTTTACAGTGCAGTGATTATTATCTTTCATAATGAATCAGTACACAAAATGATTTAATTTAGGAACCAGGATAACTTGCCTCTGGACACCCTCCCCAGAGTTCCTTTCAGACTGGATAGACAGGAATTCTTGCATAATTTTCAGTTTTATCTCTCTGGTGTGACTAATTAGAGCCAGTAATATATTTATAAACAGATTTTTATTATGACACAAATAAAATGTGAACATGGGTCTCTTGGACCCTGGATGTTCCAAGATGCCACTTGCACCTAAAGTCAATTTTTTAGTTCAAGCTTAGAAAAAACAGACATTATAAAGGGAGTGGAAATGACTGAGATAATTAAGGTTGCATGACAGTTTTCATTCTAATCCCTTGCATTCGGGAGCTTTTAAGTTTCTGACCATTTCATCTTTTGAGTTGAGTTTTTCCAGGCTTGGTCTGTGCCTGAAGTTTATTTTTTCTTTTTCAAGTTTGATCAGAATGGTTGAATTAATTATGCCTGCAAGCAGACTGGAAAAAATATACTTTTTGCCATCTAAAAAAATTAAAAATCTTGTAGTGGTTCTTTTGAACAGCTCATCAGAATGGCTGGGGGTAGAAATTTGATGGGGAAATAGCATACTCTCAGGACAAATATTATGATGAAATTAGGTTTGTTTTGACTGAGCTATAAGTTTTTGAAAATGGCAGTAGACTTTGTATGTGCTTCTTGCTCTAGGACCCAGTCCTGTCACCCTAACTAATAATGAGCCCAATCCACTCCTCCCAGAGGAGAATACTTCTTGTCCACATTTAGGGTGGCAGAACTGGACCTTCTGTTTGTAAAGTGTGTGGGTAAGGAAGGCTGTGCTATGCATGCACAGCATGGCTAACTCAACTTCATAGTGAGAGTAGTTCAGAAGCACAAATAACAGCCACAATAAATCTTATTGGGTGTGGGGGGATGGAAGGGGAGCCCTGGCCAATACGTGGGAAGGGTTCTGTGTAACCTGTTCTCACTGGTTTTGAATATTCACACTTCCAAATAGATGCTGAAAGTGCACACATAAGTTCCAGCCCCATAGTCCATAGTAAATAAAACTCTCCCTGAAGACAAGTCATAGTAAGGACTGCAGGACTTGACCCTTGTGTGTTGATACTCACACTAATGGTTGGGAGATGCACTTCAAATTACTAAATGTTGCCAGTCAGAGAATAGGGGCCAAATCCTGTTCCCAGTGAATAGCCTGAGTAGTGAGATAGGCTTCCTTCTGTCCTGCAGAACTGCTCAGCAACCTATCTCCTAGGCCATAGAGAAACAGCAGAGTCACTCCCTGGCCACTACTGCAGCTTTAATGCTATTATACCCTATGCTGTATGTAGGGAATGAGTGTTGGAGATGCAAATTTGCAGCTCCACCAGCTATATCTTTGCTTCCCTTCTATCCTGCCTTTGGTTTGCTCCCAAATGTCATACATGTGTTTGGGTGTAGGGAGCCTCTGTGGCTCTCCAAATTCTTCCTCTTCCCCACTTGTGCATTCGAATTGTAGAAGTTCTGCTGCATTCAGGCACAACCATGCCCAGGGAGGAGAGTGGGGTGGAAGAATCTGC